GTCCACTTGATGCAGTGAGTGAGTAAGGGGCACAAAAGGCATTGAATAAATGAGTGGCTATGTTAAGATTTTAGTATACAACTGATACATCATAAAAACTAAACAACAAACCAACACCACTCAACCACCAGCAGAACCAAGAAGGATTTGATGAGGGGCCTTCAAAAAGCTCATGTGAATAGTGTATGAAAAGATAATGGGATTTCTTTCATGAACTTTTGGAACCCCCCCCTTTGAGTGAGGAATCTCCAGTTCTTCATAATTCAAAGGCAGCTGAGAATGAAATCAATGAATTCCCACATGGCTGATCCTTCCCTGATGGGTGGGACACTCAAACTACAAAAGAAAAACAATAACTGGCCCCACTTGGGAATGAAGCAGGCCACTAGCTTCCTCGGGTCCTAACTATTACTTTTAAAGGCACAGGCCCTGTTTGTGAGGAACTTTTTTGCTTCACTCAAAGAAAGCAAACAAGCAAACAAACAACAAACTACTATACACCCAGAAATCTAAAAAATAAACAACAAAGCAAGATTTTATTCACATGTTCATGTTAATTCAAAAAGCTATAGTGAAGTGAGAAATCACTGCTGTCTTTAGAATAACAGGACTATGGTGGAAGATATGAAAATAATAATAATTTATAATTTATCAGGGGTCCATAAGGGTTGGAGGGTGGAGGAGGGAGGGATAAAAGAGGAGCTAATGCCAAGGGCTCAAACAGAAAGAAAATGTTTTTAAAAAGATGTTGACAACATATGTACAAATATGTTTGATACAACTGATGTATTGATTGTTATAAGAGCTGTAAGAGCTGTAAGATAAAATGTAAGATAAAAGAGCTGTAAGATAAAATGATGTATTTAAAACAAAACAAAAAGAAGAAGACTAGGGCTGACGCTAGGCCCTAACAGTGAGTTGGATTTGCAGAGCCGGGAAGAGGAAGTAGAACAGTATGCACTGGGTGGGGTGTGAGAGCCTGGCACCAGAAGGGACTTGGGTCTAGAACAGGGTGGGTCTAGCTGGGGCAGGAGGGGTTGGGACCGCTTAGTGGCAGCCTTTCGTGTTCGAAGGCTGCCCAGGGCTCCTACCCTGGGGGAGCATGTCAGCAGTCGTGCGGAATGGACTTACCATACTGGAGTGGACTGTGGCCTGCTCAATGTACCTTGCGATGCCTGTGACAAACGCATTCCTGTCCTCAAAGTTCGTGTCAAAGTTGGCCTGTGGGGATCAGGAGAGAGGAACATTTTGTTGTTGGAAAACAGGTTTACGGGGAGGTCCAGGGAAGAAGGTCCAGCCAACACAGTCCATAGTTCTCGGTGGAAATGATCACGTTAGTACCATCTCATCTTCCCCACCCCACCCTGCTCCAAAAAATACTCTGCTCTGAACCCCACTGGGAAGGAGCAGGTGGGAGACAGCCTCACAACAGCCCCATCAGCTGCATATCAAGCTTGCTCGGCTGAGCCTTGGCAATAGACGTGTAACCACTGCAAGCTCCAACAGCTGGTAAAAGGTAAAACGTGCGTTGCTTGAGCCCAGCAGCTGCAGAAATCCTCACCAGAGCATGCACATACGTGCAAGGAAACACAGGACAGGATTTCGTACGACAGGGAAAAACTAGAAACCACTCAGATGGTCACCATGGAGAATGTCTGTCTAAATGGAAGCTTATCCCTACAATGGACTTACAAGTACTAGGTGGTAATGAAGAACAGTGCAGTAGTATTGTTATTAGTAGTAGCAGTAGTACTGCTATAGGAAAATATCCCTAATGCATCTTACATTTTAAAAAGCTAATTTGCAGATTGATGTATACGAGTAGCCCGTTTCCCTCTTGGCAAGCACAATAATGAAAAGAGCATGTGTGTATCTATTGGCATAGTTACAAGGCAACTTTTGTTTGTTAAGTTACACGTTTCTGTATTGCCTGTTAACAAACAAACAAAAAGCATCATTAAAAATTTAACTGATGTTAGTCGCTCAAGCCTCAGGCAGGTGATGATTAATAAGTACTTTAAACCACTGGCTGAAAGTTTGAAAAATTGTAGTTAGTCCCATTTAGTAGTTCAAGAACTTTCCAAAGGTCAAGTACGACTTTAAAAAAAATTAAATTAGCATATTCTTTATTAACGTGGCATACTCTCTTCACCCCCCCAACAAGGGGCTCTTTATAAGCCGGCTGCAGCCCTCGCCATGCCCTGGTGGGGCTGTTGTCTGAGCAACCCAATCATCATTTAATACAAGCTGTCCTCTCTTAGCCAACGCCGACAACTGTGATCACTTCCCTGAGCCATTAGCTGCCATGCAGGGCGAGAGTGCGCTCCTCATACACAAGGAGGAGGAGTAATTACCCAGGCAGGCTCTAGGGGTTTCTAAATGGCAATATTTAATTCATGAGGTCAGAGCTGCCAAAAGCATGGTTGGTGCAG